TGGCCTGGACAATATTTCTAAAGCTCATGTGCTCCAAGAATCACAGGACACTGAGCCTAAGGGCCCCTGGAGATCATTCTATCTCCTTCACAGGATAAGAGTATTTGTCCATGTCTCTGGTCAACATTGGAAAATGGGACCCCCAACCAGAGTCTCCACCCTCAAGAAATGTGCATTTTGAAAGTGAAAGACCTACAGTTAAAGGTTTACCTTTGGATAACACTTATGTGGCACGAAGTGCCAGCCCCTGTTCCAAACTGTACATGAATTAAGTAATTTCATCTTTTCACTGCAAGATAAGCACTGCTATTATCACCATTGTACAGAGGAGGGAACTGAAGCACAGAGAAGATTAGTAAATTAACCAAGGAATCAGGATGATAAATGTGGGAACTGGTGTTTGTTGGAGATAACCTGGCCCCAGGTCCCTGCTCTGAACCCCCATGTTCACACCTCTGAGCAGACCCTGGACTGAGTTGGGACCTCTGAGACTGACAATGGCCAGGAGATAACACCTGAGCTGAGACAAAGGAGGTTGTCAGGTGGAGAATAGGATGGAAGCCATTCTATGGGGGAGGGCCTGTTGGGTGGGGAATGATCTGGCATGACTGGGATGAGCGTGTGGCCAGGGCCCTTGCGCCAGTGAGCGGAGATGGAGGCCGAAAACAGGCATCCAATTGTGGACTTTTCTTGGCTTGCTCAGTGTTACAAAATTGATATTGTGGCAAAATACACATAACATAAAATTTACTCTTTTATCCATTTTGGAGTGTACAATTCAGTGATATTGATAACATTTACCATATGGGGCAAACATTATCTCTGTTCAGATCTAAAACATTTTCACTACTCCAAAAGGAAACCCTGTAGCCTTTCAGCAGTTTCTCCCCATTTTCTCCTCCCCCCAGCCCCTGACAACCACTCACCTGCTTCTTTTTGTATAAATTTGTCTATTCTGAATATAAATTTACCTGTTCAGTCTTAAGTAGTCATACAATGTGTATGAACTTTTGTGAGCAGCTTAGCCTGTGTCTGTACTATATCCCTTTTATGGCTGAATAGTTAAAATGTTTATTTGAATGAGATTAACTTTTGGGGGACCACAGACTCCCCACTTTCCCCCATCACTATCATCTTCTGTGACCCTACTCCCTGCTGCCACAGCACTGATGTCATCTGCCTGCTTTTCTCTTTCCAGCTTTGGGACAGACAGAAGCATTTGGCCAGACTGCTCATATCCTTGCATGTGATTCTGAGGGTTTGCCTCTGTCTGTAGGTGGCAGGCGGCTGCCCAGGTGCAATCTGCCCTCCTCCTTGGTAGAATATGTCTGTGCCAGGTCACTCTGCCATGGACCCCAGCTGACTCTCCCTGGGAGGATCACATGCACGTGGAGCTGCCCTTCTGAGAGGGTTTGTACTTGAGACCAAGAAATAAGCCTTCTCCCTCCTGGGGCCTGGAATGGATTGACCTGGGTGGGGCTGGAGAAGAGGGGAAAAGAAAGATATGAAGATGAGGAACCAGTCTTTGAGTTCAGGGAAATATCACTTTGTCTTTTAGTAATCTCTCACTCCCACTGTCTCGGTTTAAGCAGACAAACTTAGTGAGGCATAAGGGAGAGGGAAAGGATGGATTATTATATCTAACTTTTCCAAAAAGTATTGCCGAGGATTTTTTTTTATAAAGTCAAGCTCATTGAGTATAATTTACATACAGCAAAACACACCCAGGTAGATGTTCAGTCTATGAACTTTTGTTTTATTGTATTAAAATACATATGACATAAAATTTGCCACATATGCTGGGTGTATCTAACTATTTTAAGTGGAGTGGTCTTAAGTACCTCACACTGTTGTGCAACCATCACCACATTCACCTGCAGAACTTTTTCATCTTTCCTAAATGAAATTCTGCAACAGTAATTCTCCATTTTCCCATCCGCCAGTGGCTGATAAGCTCTATTTGACCTTCTGTTTCTGTGAATTTACCTATTCTCGCTACCTTATGTAAGTGGAATCATACAGTGTGTCCTTTCACCTGACTGATTTCTCTTAGCACAGCTTCCTTCAGTTCACCCATGTGTTGGAATTTCCTTCCTTTCTTAAAAAGACTGATATTCCAATGTATATATGTGCCACATCTTGTTTATTGTCCTGCCAATGGACACAAGTTGTTTCCACCTTTAAGATATTGGGAATAGTGCTGTTATGGACATGAGCTATGGACATGACAAATACTATTTGCATCCCTGCTTCCACTTCTTTGGGGCATATGCCTGGGAGTAGTACTGCTATGGTAATGCTATGCCTAATTTTTTTTGAGAAACCATTATACTGTGTCTAGTTACATTTTGCATTCCCACCAACAATGCACAAGGGTCCCCTCTAGCTACATCCTTGCCAACGCTTGTTAGAACCTGCCTGGGGTCGCACAGCTAGAAATGTCTATTTTGTTCTTATCCCTCAGTGAGCCCAATGCCCTCAAGGAGCCTCTTCTGCACAGAGATGATGGGGCAAGGGCATTAAATAATCTCTCAACATTTAAGACCTAACATACAACAGAATATAACTCAGCCATGAGAAAGAAGGAAATCCTGCCATTTGTGACAACATGGATGAATCTCAAGGGCATTGTGCTAAGTGAGAGAATGACACATATTGTAGGATGTCACTTATGTGTGGAATTGAAAAAACACCAAACTTATAAAAACAGAATGGTGTGGGGTGGGGCATGGGGGTGGGGCATGGGGAAACTAGGGACAAGTTGTTTAAGGCTACAAACTTGCATCTGGTCAACAATGAAGTTGTGGAGATCTGCAGCACAGCAGAGTCATTATAGACACAAGACTGTCCTGTAAACTTCTGAGTAGCTAAGAGACTAGATCTTAGTTGTTCTTATCACAAAAAGAAGTGATTATGTGATAAGGGTGTTAGCTAGTGCTGATCTGGTAATCATATTGCAATAAGTTAAGTACCAATCAACATGCTGTACACCTTCAATTTACACAAAGTTATGTCAATTATATTTCAATTTAAAAATTTTATGCCCTAGGGCGGAGGTGGTTTTAAATGTGGCTCATGTCTCTCTGGCCCAGTGATAAGGGTTTTCGGTTGGTCTCGGCACCCTCTTCCAAATTTGGCTGGAATCCAGGTCCGTGATTATCATAAAAGAGAGGGAATGCTCATGAGCTGAACTGAAACCACTTCCTTCACCATCATTTACTAACTCAGCAGCCTTCCAGGACCCCCAGAGAGATGTCAGTCTCCAAAGCAGTCAGGTGCCAGGACTCTCCAGAGTCGCTCCCAGAGCAAGCACAGGTGCCTGGCCACGGTGGGGAAGATCCACACTTACACTCCAAGTTCCTCTAAAAGCTTTTAAATATAAAACTGAGCCTGTTTGTATGGATACCTTCAGAAACTGATTGTGAACAGACAAGCCCTGCCTTATATTGGAGGCCAAATATAAATTGAGAATCAGACACACCACCACCCTGGGACATCCAGATAGTAGGAGTGTTGCCAGAGATGTGAGGCTCTAGGGGAGCAGAAGGTTATGTCTAAGTTATTTTCTATAACTTATGAGCCTCCTGACTCACTGGTGTTAAATAGATTCAAATTGAAAAATAGAAGTTGGAATGGGGAGCCAAAGATGAGGTTTTTAATTTTATCGCCTTCCACCAGATCCCTGGGTTCTCTGTGTGGGATGTGAAATGCCTGTTGATGACAGCCTTCTTCAGGCAAGATACGTTAGGTTTCTGTGACTCTTCTTCATATCCTCAACTGACCCTACTAACCTCTGCCCCTTTTCACACAAAGGCTATCTTTGTAGTCATGTGTTTAAAATACTTTTGGGGGTCCTGTTTAGATTTTAGCTTTCCTGTCTCCATCTCAGTGGACTTCACTCTATGACTTTGCACTTATCTCCACTTTGACAAAACCTTCTGTCTCTCCCTGAAATAGCCACTTTGAATTGCAATTATTCATTTCTCCAGGCCTCAAAGTTTTTTCCCTTGTTTAGTCTCTTAACTATTCGTTTGGCCATTGCCTAACTAATGACCATGTTTTGTCAACATTTAACTTTGAAAACTTGGTAATTGTACTTTGGACTTCCGTGACTCTTCATCATGGCTCACCCTCAGGTATTTTCTGCACTGGATCCTGTGGGTGGCATGGGAGGGGCCCCTCCAAAACCCTGACCTTTCTAATCCTCCAGGTGAGGAGTCCTGGCAACCTATATGTGTCACCTGAGTATAACTACCTATTTTGGCAGTTCCCTGCATCTTCCTGCATCTTCCCACATCCTCATAACCCCAAAGGTTACCCATAGCTTCAAGAGTATTTTTAAAATTTCATGGTTAGCATTTTTAATAGTGAAATTTTGTACCACATTATGCATCTATTTAATTGGTATTCTGTAGGCATACTTAAAGTATACATAATCAGGTCATTTCAAACAGTTTTAGCTACCTGAGGCATCAATTGAGAGCAGTTTTTGCCATCTTTCAAAAGGCCTAGAAATGTGCAGTTTGGGTTCCTTGCTGATGGGATTCCTTTACACTAGGTTCTAATAAAATTCCTCTCACCCCCACTCCTGTAACAGACACTTGGGAGTGAAGGTCCTACTTACCAACTCAGGTTGCTGGCAGATTTCCTTTTTAATGTCAACTTTTATATCTGCGTTTAGCTTACTTATCCTGGAATTTCTTTATGAATGAAATTATACCAATTTCATATTATTGGAAAGAGTTGGTAAATAAAAGTGTAAATTGGCTGATTACATATTGTTGAAATTTCAGGAGTACATTTTTATATAGTGCAGTAATGTTTTAGAAGGTCAGATTATCAGAGCCAATTTGGATTGTTTTCATATCTTGGCTATAGTGAATAGTGCTGAATTGGGGTTCATATGTTGTTTAGAATAAGTACACAGATCCTTCACTTTCTTGGTTAAATTTATTCCTAGGTATTTTACTCTTTTTTGATGTGATTATAAATGGTATTGTTGAGTCTAGAGCGAGTGAGTGGAGAGCTATTCGGGACTGAGCGGAGCAATGCCTAAGTCAAAGGAACTTGTTTCTTCAAGCTCTTCTGGCAGTGATTCTGACAGTGAAGTTGACAAAAAGTTAAAGAGGAAAAAGCAGGTTACTCCAGAGAAACCCATGAAGAAGCAGAAAACTAGTGAGACTTCGAGAGCTCTGTTGTCATCCAAGCAGAGCAGCAGCAGCAGGGATGACAACATGTTTCAGATTGGGAAAATGCAGTACGTTAGTGTTCGGGACTTTAAAGGGAGGGTCCTAACTGATATTAGAGAATATTGGATGGATCCAGAAGGTGAAATGAAACCAGGAAGAAAGGTATTTCTTTAAACCCCAAGCAGTGGAGCCAGCTGAAGAAACAGATTTCTGACATTGATGATACAGTAAGAAAACTGTAAAACCAGAGCCATATAAAACCTGTACTGTTCTCGTTGTTTTAATCTGTCTTTTTACATTGGCTTTTGTTTTCTAAATGTTGTTTTCCAAGCTGTTGTATATTTGGATACAGAACAGTTTGTAAGATGAATACTTTTTTTTAATGTGCATTATTAAAAATGTTCTGAGTGAAGCTAATTGTCAACTTTATTAAGGAGATTTGCTTTGTGCCCGCCACCTAGTGTAAAATAAAAGCAAGTAACACAACCTTAACTGTTGTGGCCTTCTTTGATCAGAAGAATTGGTACTGCTTAAGGCCCAAAGTAACAGTATATAGACCTTTTTAGTTTCAACTCAGCCTTTATATTTAAAAGCATTTGTATTGCTTTGAATTTATCAAGTTTTTGTTTGTGAAATTCATAGCTATGTTTTCTTCCAACCAAATGTCTAGAGACTTGTTTGATTGCCCTACCATGGAGAAACTTTACTTCCCTCCTTTTTTCTTTATTTCATTTTCCTTTAATAACTTACCATGTTCTGTTTTCATGTTTTGCTTTTTCTTTCCATATATTATACTAATTTGGAAAGTCGGTAAAACTGTCCAAACCTTAGTTATTTCAGTAAGGTATTTGTAATTAAAATACATGAGAACTACAGTCACTAATTCTACTGTTTTAGATATTAGGAGATAAACAACATGGCTTATATGAAAACTCTCAGCAAGTTAGTGTTTGTCATTCATTATCTGTAGTGTTCTAAGTAGCTACCTTAATGCTTAGTCTGCAAAAATAATGACTTAGATGTCCAATTTGCTTTCATTTATCAAACATGTTCACCATGGGATGATGTCTATAAAATCAGATACTGTTAACTTAGAGTAGGTTCTAATAAAAGTTGTGAAAACTTAAATAAATAAATAAATAAATGAATGGTATTGTTTTCTTCATTTCTCTTTCTGCTTGTTCATTGTTTCTGTATGGAAATGCAGTAGTTTTTGTATATTGATTTTATAGCCTGAGAATTTACCATTCTTGTTTATAATTTCTAATACTTTTTTGTATAGTGTTTTTAGCATTTTCTATATATAATATCATGTCATTCACATATACTGACAGTTTTACTTCTTCCTTTCCAGTGTGTATACCTTTAACTTCTTTTCTTTTGCCCAAGTGCTCTGGCTAGACTGTCAATACTATGATAATGGACCTACTTGTCTTGTTCCTGATTGTAGAGGAAAAGTCTTCAGTTTTCTCCTACTGAATAAACTGTTCAATATGGGGTTGTCATATATGGCTGTTATTATATTGAGAGATATTTCTTCTATGCCTGTTTTATTGAGAGTTTTTATCCTTGAGAGTGTTGTCATTTTATTGAGAGTATCTTATCAAATACTTTTTCTGCACCTATTGACACGGATAGTATGGTTTTTAATCTTTCATTTTGTTGATTTAATGTGTCACATTGATAGATTTGCATATGTTGAACCATACCTGCATCCCTAGAATAAGTCCAACTTGGTTGTGGTATTATTGAATTTGGTTTGTTAATATTTTGTTGAGGATTTTTGCTTTTGTGTTAGTCAGAGATACTGGGATCTAATTTTCTTTTTGTTTTTCCTTGTCTAGTTATTTTGATATCAGTATTATGTTGGTCTCGTAGAAAGAGTTAGGAACTATTTCCTCCTTTTTTTTTAAAGACTTTAAAAAGGAAGTATATTAGATCTTTATTGAATATTTAATGGAATCCATAATGAAAATCTGGTTCTGGTCTTTTGTTTTTTGGGGAGATTTTTGATTACTCTTTCAGTTTCTTGTAACCAGTCTGTTTAAATTTTCTGTTTCTTAATGATTTCTTCTAAATTGTCCAATTTGTTGTCTATAGGCATTCATAGATGTCACTTGTGATCCCTTGTATTTCTGTGGTATTTGTTGTGATTTTCTTTGAGTCTTTTTTTTTATATAAGAACAGGGATATAGTCTAGATGCACGGGAGGGTGAGAGTATTCACCAGAGACAGAGCAGGGAACAGAACAGGCAGACTGACAAAATACGCTGCTGAGGGGAGCAGCGGGCGAGACCGGAGACGTCTGCTTCGCCATGTGGGATTCTCCCTGGCCAGCTGGGATCGAACCCGCACTGCAGAGGCTGCAAACAGCTTCACAGCACTGTGCTCAACCACCTGTGCCATCAGGGAGGCCCTCTTTGAGTCTTGTCTTAACGAGTCTGTCAGACTGTTTTCTTAAAAAAACATCTTTGTTTTATTGATCTTTTGTATGTTTTGTTTTGTTATCTATTTTGTTTATCTCCACCAATTTTTCATATTCCCTTACTTCTTTGGGCTTTTTGTGTTCTTACATTTTCAATTCTTTTTAGGGGTAAACTTGTATTATTTGTTTGAGATTTTTCTTAATTTTTTTAAAGAATTATTTATTTATTTTTGCACAGAAGAGCTGGGGTGTAGGCCATAGGCATGGGTGGTGAGAGGTTTCACCAGAGACAGAGTGGGGAGCAGAACAGGCAGATTTATTAAAACACACTGGTAAAGGGAACAGCATGTGAGACAGGAGAGGTCTGCTGCACAATATGTGGAGCAGCTCCCTGGCCAGGGTTTGAACTCAGGCCATCACAGAGATAGTCCTGAGACTTAACCCCTATGGCACCAGGGAGGCCCCAAGATTTTTCTTATTTAGATAAGTCTGTATTGCTATAAATTTCCCTCTTAGCACTGCTTTTGCTGTATCCCAAAGATTATGGTATATAATATTTCCATTATTATTTGTCTTCAGATTTTTTGCATTTCTTCAGTCATCCAGTAGTTTTTCAGTAGCATGTTATTTAATCTTCATGTGGTTGAGGGTTTAACAGTTTTCTTTTTGTAGTTTACTTCTAACCTCATGCCATTTTGTTGGAAAAATGCCTCGTATGATTTTGATAGCCTTAGATTTATTGAGATTTGTTTTGTGTCCCAACATGTGATCTATTCTTCAGAATGTTCCATGTGCACTTGAGAAGAATGTCTGTTCTTCTGCTTTTGAATTGAATGTTTTGTATGTATCTACTATGTCTGTCTTGTCTAATGTATCATTTAAGACTGATGTTTCCTGTTGATTTTCTGATTTTCTGATCTGATTTTCTGATCAATTGATGTAAGTGGGGTATTGAAGTTGCTCTTATTATTGTATTGAAGTCATTATCTCCCTTCAGCTCTATTAATATTGTGTTTTAAATATTTTGGTGCTCCTATGTTGAGTACTTATATATCGGTGATTGTTATATAGATCAGTGTTGACTAGCAGGGGCAGGGTGTATTTGTCTACCAGAGGTAAACCCTCTTGATTACTGTCTTTTGGTCCCTCAGATATCACATCTACTTCCCCAGGGTGGGTAGAGTACTCATCAGAGATTCACCAGCAGGGTCAGATAGTATAGAAAATGGGTTCCAATATGGCCCCCACCTGCTGTTATTGGCAGTGTTGTGAGAAGTTGCCAAGAAGGTTCCTGCTGGTGATTCCAACCCCAGTTTATTCCTAAAGCTATAAGGATCGCATCTGAGATTCTTCCTAAAGCTATAAGGATAGCATCTGAGATACTGTTCAAATCAGTATTATTTACTTTGAGCTCCAAGGCAAGTGAGGCTGCTCATAGACCTATTAAGGGCTGGTTCTTAGTCTCTACATTTTCCTCAGCTTCCCTGTGCTCACTTTGCTCTAGTCTTCAATGCAGGGTTATAGGGGCCCTTCTGCACTAAGCTGAATCATAAAGTTGGGGTGCTGTGGATTAGGCACAACCCTTTGCCCCACCTCTACTCCCCAGGTAAAGGTTCTGCACCTTAGGGATCTTTTTTAGGGTTTCTCCTTGGTGAGAGATTCTGTCTTTCCTGTCTATCTGGATGCTACCATTTTATCCATTGTGGTGGAGTCTCTATTCATGCAGGTTCCAGGTATGCTTTTGTGTAGGTTAATCCTGTTTCAGGTGTGCATTTGTTAGGTTCTGAAAAGAGGTAAATACAGTTCTTCCTATTCCACAATCTTGGACCACTTCCCTTTCCTTTGCATATTTTCAGCAGTTCTTCTTGTTTCTGAGCTTTTTATACATTCTGGATATTAGTAACTTATCAAATATATTATTTGAACACATTTTCTCCCATTCTGTAGGTTACCTTTCACTCTATTGATTGTGCCCCTTGATGCAGTAAAATTTTTAATTTTAATGAAGTCTAGCTTATCTGTTTTTCTCTTTGTTATGTGTGCTTTTGGCACCATATCAAAAAATCATTGCCAAATCCAATGTCATGAGAATATCCCCTACATTTTCTAAGAGTTTTATAGTTTTAGCTCTTAAGTGTAGGGCTTTGATCCATTCTGAGTTCATTTTTATATACTCTATGTTACTAAAGATGTTTATGAATATCCCAGAGATCTCAAACCAAAATGGACTCACATGGTCAAACCTGCTTAATTAAGCCTGTGGAAAGCAGACTTTTCATATTGTTGTAGACTAGATATCTGGATATTCTCTCTGACAATTAGACTGACTTCTTTGGGAATATCCACTAAGAAGTGTCCTTTGGGGGTTTGGGGCTGTGTTGAATGCAGAATAGCTGAGATACTGCAGCTGACTGCATTTGAGATAATACAAAAACATGCCATTCAAAGCAGGAGGTTGACAAATACATGTGGGGTTATTTTAAATTGTTTTTAATAGAAAAATGCTCAGGGCCTGGTACTTTTAAATGATGTGTCAGGGTATTTGGGATGGGGGGTAAGGGGCTTCATCAGGTGAGGAGCCCTGGGAAATTGGGGGTACATCAGGATTCAGTTGGTTGATTAACTCTCTCTGCCTCCCAGAGAAATAGTAGTGAGGACTGTGGGGCAGCCAATGGACCTAGGAGACTAGAGAAATAGGGCCTGAGCAGAGACTAGATATGGAACCTGCCATATCTAAGGGACATAGTTTAGTTTAGTTTGGAGAATAATCTTATGATTTCCCACCCACGCACCCTGAAACTATTCTCCAGCTTCAACAGTTATCATCAGTTTGCTAATCTGGCTTCATCTGTCTTCTTATATTCTCCAGGGGTATTTTAAAACAAATCCTAGACACCCTGTATTTCACTTGCTAATATTTCATGTGTGACTCTCAAGGATTAGGGCATTTTCCCCCTTGTAACCAAAGTGTCATTGTCACATCTAAGATTAATATGAGTTATGAATATCATATCATTTCAGTTCAAATTCAGATTTCTTCACTTATCCCAAATTATATCATCTCAGCTAAGTATAATACTCTCCGGTAACTTCTAGACTCTCTATGCCCACTTCCTGAGAACTGGTCCCACATCACCTGACTTGAAGGAGCCATAATTCTTTCTGGAGTGTAATAAAGAGTTACAAACACTTGTGGGGAAGTGTGGCCAAGGGATGAGCTGGCATCCCAGTGACAAGTTAACTGGGACTGTCTGTGGAGGAGTCAAAACAGAAGGGGAGCCAGCGGCTGGTGGCCATGTATGTCCATGGTGGGGAGCACAGGTTTGAGGTGAGACAGCCTGTATTCAGGCCCT